AAAAAAGTAGTTTTGTCATTGAAAAAAGTGAAATTTATAATTTGATAATTTTCACTGTGAAATTATCAAATATAATTTTCACGGATAAATCAGTAATCCACTGAAAAGCATGAAATAAACTACGTTAATGCAAAGATTTGATGTTTTATCGTTGGTAATTTTCTTATAGATCATAATTAATAAATCTTCAAGGCGTTATAATAAACCATTACGAGCAACTCTTTCTATATAGAAAACAAGACGCATGGTGTCGGATTCTTGACACATTACGACACTTACTGAAGGGCACCCGTCCTGTCACAGTATAAAACGAGTTCCTACGGTTGCAATGGAATTTTCGTATCGTAACGCTTCAACAACTGTGAAGATCTAAACATGCATTCGTTAAAGTTGCATTTTAATCGGCCCCTCTAAAGGTTTGAATCACAAAGCTGACCATTCTTTTGCAGCCTTTTTACGCGTGCGTAAATTCTTGCTTGTCCGGTTCGGTGAATATTTTTAGATGACATACTTTAAAAAAAATGCACCAAAAAGAGCAGTTACGCAACTTTTTCGAGCTTTTGTTTATAAATGGCAAGAACGAAACATGAACTTTGCAGTACAGAAGAAAATTACAAGAAGATAAGAATGACGGATATATATTATCTCGTATATTTTCCCACAGCTTAAGCAGTAGTTTTGGGACCGGAAGATTCTGGCAGGGAATTATACAAGCGTTAAAACATTTTGACGGTTCATGGGTAAAGTGACACCGTATGTGTGTTGAAAGGTATTTTAGGTCTTTGACATTTGACATGCGCCACGATTAATACAGTTGCTACGTTAATTATGCCAACATTATGTTGTTATTTGATATTTTATATCTGAAGATTTGTAAAATTGAAGCAATTTTATTCATTTTGAACATATTAGATACTTTCATTCCTATTTACTTCAGCTTTTAAAACAATCTTGTTTGAACTCAATATTCGGACATCCGTCCTACTATAGGAAAACTGTTATAGTGTACATATTTAGATAAGACGAAAGGTGTTTTTTGGTTTCTTTATTGTGTTTTACGTAACACCGACACAGTTTTACTGTTGGAGGAAGACCTCAGGTGCCCTTACGGTAATTATTTTAGGCACAAACGGGCACCTGAGTAGCACGACGACGTTACGTTAGCTAGCTGGATAGCTTCCTCACATGAAAGAATCCAATGTCGGGATTCAAACCCACAGCGGTGAGGGGCAAGTGGTTTGAAATCAACGACCTTAATCACTGGGCCACGGACACCCCAGGAGAAAGGTATAATTATGCCTAATGAATATTGAGGTTTTAAAAGATTTAGTTAAATGATATATTCTTGAAACAAATTATAATACGTTAGCTTTTAAATGCGAATGATAGAAGTAAAAAAAGTAAAAGAATGAAGGGATTTGATTAAAAGGAATATACACATGCGCACTACAAGACAAAAAGGGAAATCTTACTTAAGATATTTACCAAATACATCAACACATCCACGACCAATACCGCAACAACCGCCTGTAACTATAGCAACCTTGTCTTTAAATCTGTCCCCGCTAGCCATTTCTATGAAATTAAGTCACACATATTTTATTTAAGAAATAATATATCCCAAACTGTGATTTTATTGCTCAATAACATCACTGTTTGTAGTTCGGATTCGGGGAATTATATCACGAGGGCGTAGCCCGAGTGATATAATGATGCGCATCCAAACAACAAACAGTGGATGTTATCAAGCAATAAAATCACCGATTTGGATATATTATTTCGATTCTAGTTAACACGACATCAACAAAAAAATGCTGCCGTACATGATAATTAGCTAAATTGCGCCTGATTTGTTTCCGTACTTCTTGTCAGCGCGTCACGTTTTTAGTGGTTACGTCACATGTCTAAATATCGAACGTCAAACTGTGATTTTATAGCATAATAACACACACTTTTGGTTCTTCTTTGTTCAATAGGGAAAAATGCGGGTCGTGTAAGAATTTAAAATAACATCTTTTTTGTTGCTGAGTAAACGATTGTGTATCATTTTATAATGTGCTGCTTAATTTACTATGTATTTAATTTTTATTGACATTAATAATATTTCATTTAATAGAGTATTATACTTTATATATAATATTTACTCAAGAAATATCTAAGAAAATGTTACCTTAAATAGTTTCTATTCCAACTAAAACTATAGTGAATAATTTTATTATCAACAATTTACAGGTAATATCAGTTTCAAGGTCATATGTGTTATCTTATTTAGATAGCAACTGATTACAACTGCAAGGCCACTGCACCTCTATCATAACTGATAGGTGTTAAGTAAAACAATAAGAAATAGAGTATAATACCTTTCGTGATAAAGCACTCTAAATGTCAAAAGCCAGTTGTAATGTTAATTTGACTGGTGCATGTAATTAATATAACGGAAAAAATCAACTGAATCTTTTTATAGAGATTAACGCCGTCCAATCAAGCAGACGTGCCGCCTTTTAGTCTTGTCCTAACAGTGTAAATAAGAATATATGGAACACATCTGGCGTTATACATCGACTTTCTTTCATTGTTTAATTATAACGATATGGATATGTGCGTACCAATTGAGGGGCTGTCGATCCGACCGCTTATATTTCTGTTGCTGTTTGTTGAAGCATTCATCTATCCGTATAATACGTATGTTTTTTGCTCAATTTTTGCCAAATCCACAAATTGATCGAGCATAAACGGTGGAGAGCTTTGGAGAACGTTTGTGTTAAACAGCCAGGCAATGTAAGATACACTGATGTCAAGTTGATCAGTAAATACAACAAAACCATATATTATATCTTTATTTCTATAATATGTCCCATGTTTCAAGAATGATAATCAACCAACTGTAGATAATAGAAATCACTGTGCTCTGTCTTGCAAGACTATACATTTCAACGTGTAGCCTGTTTTGCATTTGCAAACACTTGTTACTTCTGATCACTGCACCTTTCTTGGGAGACTTTATATTTCAACTTATACATTTCTTGTGATAACAGGAATTACACTAAGTCTTGTTTATATATTGAGGATCTGTTGAATCGGATATCTGGATTTTTCAAAAATGATCAAGACACAATTTTAATAAGCACTCTCTTATCCATCATGTTTCTCATATCAATTGTTATTTCATCATCTTTTTAATAATTATAATTGTGTTAAGGCGACAGTAATTGATAACTGAGAACTGACAGCAGCAGGGCTATACAAAGCTCATTCCTTTGACTCCATATCCTATTTCTGAACCAGCAGTACACATCAGCTCTGCGCCAGTTGTGTATGTAGCATCTACAGCCAGAAACAAACATGCCATTCCCATTTCTCTTGGCTCCGATACTCGATTGAGTAACTGAAAAATATGAAACATAACTTATCATATTGAAAAGTGTCTTATTGTTACCACCAGTATTTTGTCACCTTAGTGTAGTAACGGGTTAAGTCATTATAAATTCAATAGGAGTTAATCAATTATTGCACTAAGTTGACGCAGTATTGTTGTTCAAACAGTTATGCAAGCAACTACTACATAAAATGAATTATATTTAGAAAATGTGTCTTTTTTCATTTAAAGATTTTTTTTCAAATATTTTCTTTCCAGTCACTTTCAAGGTGGCGCCTTTCCAGTTCAGTGATGGAATAAGACCTAATGTGTCCTTCCGTGCATTATTCCGAGCGTGAGCGTGTACCTGAGAATAACAACTGGATAACTTCATTACAATAAAGGATAAAAGGATATTCATTGGACCGCCGAAAATATATCGTTATATCCGTGAGGCAAACAATTTGAAAACAAGAGTCGGGACCGCGGCAACTGCATCGTTATAAGTGGTTTATCGTGAAAGTGGTGTCGTTATGTGGGGTTTATTGTAGTTTTAGTTGAGATAGGTTATAGCCCATGTTTTATGGGTTTTTTTGTTGCTTTTGCTTTTTATCATTTGGTATAATTGTACTAGTAGTGTTACAAATGTCTAATAGTATCATCAAGGCAAGTATTTATACAGAAAATCGCAAGATTGGAGTTTTTAATTGTAGTCTTGTTCAACTTTTTATATAATATTATCAATAGTTTTAATTTTCTACTTTATTACCTCCTTTACATACTTATTTTTTCTAATTAATGTTTAACAAAATGGTAATACCGTGATAACTTATCATGATTAGATTGATCATATTATTGTAAGACTGTTGATGGATGACCCTCCGCCCCTTAATTTGGCATGTGACGGAGGCAATACACGGCGTTACCGTTTTTGCCAAAGTAAAGATGCCTGAAATAATTGATAAGTTTAGGTAATTTTCTTTAACTTTCACTTACAGTATAAGACTCTACTATTTCATTAGTCTTTTCTGCCTCGCCACTGGATGAAATAACTTTACGGTACAATGGCGTATTTACTGCACTTGGCGATATCCTAAAATAACAATTGTAACACGTAATAAAAATGGGCAAACTTTTGTAATAAATAAACATGGATTAAGCTGTAACTACTGATCTTTATATACCTTCGTGTAATTTGTACAGGTAGAGTATTGTATACGTAAATAATGTTTTCTATAAAGTTTCTTAGTTTCTTAAAATACATGTATATCAGAATGCACGTTATTGAAATAAAAACTTACGCATTAACTCGAACTCCGTATTTAGCCTCGTCTATTGCAAGGGCTTTGGTTAAAGAAATTCCACCGCCCTTAAATGTAATGTAAATAATATTTAAGAATTTCAAGTTATGCTTAACATAAAAAGTCTAAAAATTCATATTTGAACAAACAACTATATTTATTTTCACTTTCAAACAATTGGATCTTACGATAAAATCTTTAAGTTCTTTAGAAAATGTCTTTGCATTAACCAATAAGTTTTAAACATTTGGTAATATTCAGTAATATTTAGTGTGTTTTAAATTGTAAACCTTCGTTGCACAATAAGACGGCGAGTTTGCGGTGCCAGAATGACCACTGATGCTTGTAATATTCACAATACTTCCACTAGTCTTGCGCAAGTAGGGGAGTGCATACTAAGATAATAAAAAGAATGCACAAGTAATTACAGATAAAATCATTTAATAGAATCATAAAGCGTTAATAGTTTTGCTCGTGTAAAGAGAAGTCAATACTGGTTTAAAACCTTAAAAAGAAAAGTCCAAAGTGTCTCTTTTATTTCGATATTGTAATGACAATTATCTGAACTAATACTAATCCAACCAATAGACTAAAAGGAATAAAACCTTCGCAATTGAAAATAGGCATAAATGGACAATTTCGTGATGGTCAATAGGGTTTACTTTATTTCATATCTGATTTTCACTTTCAAGCGATGTGTGGAATTAGAAGCTATTTTATAATTCAAAATAAAATTATTTTCAAAAAATATAATTACTTTACATGCTGCAAAATAACTGACAAGATTTAAGTTAAGAAGATCTCTAAAACTGTCTACGCTTAGTTCATCAATGCTCTTGTTCCCTGGATCTGGAATAGTATTAACATAATAGTGTCATCCCTCATAATTATTAACTTATAACATGCTTTTTTAACAGTATAAACAATTGAGATAAACTTGACTGTAAGGTGTTAGATACCGTTTTCACATAGACATATACTAAGCAAGTGTATTAAGTTATATTGGAAATCCTTGCAGAGTTGCCTCCCTTCCTCTATGCTACTTATACAGTAATTCAGAATAGAGCACAAACAATGTTGTTATGTATTGAGGAGACGTAGATAAACTAGGCGGAATGAAAATCTTTCATAGATCTAGAATAACTTAAACTTTGCACGGATTAAAGATTTGATAACAGAAACATTTTAAGCTTAAACATTAGGATTGATGTTTTCTATATGTAAATTATCTGCTATTCAATTTGAATGTTTTTGCCTATTTCAAGGCCATTTTAGTAAGATAAATATTAATTATTAGAAATCATTATTTAACTCTGCCTATATGTATCGAAGTAAAAACTACAGCAAAAGTCTTAAAACAGGCAAACCATGAAGATGCCATTCTTAGCCTGCTAGCGGCATCTGAATCTACCCTTGCGACCAATGTCGATATATTGGTTTGCTGTACAGTACGTACTTCTAATAAATTGTTCTGTCCATATTGCAAGATGAAAAGGTCCATTTTAGATAGTTATGGTTTCATCATTTAAATAAGTGCACCGGGCAAATCACTTTCATTTATTATATGATTATAACATATTTGAGAAGACTCATATGCATGTATCAACACAATTTGATAGCGAGTTTAATATTATTGTAATAAAATGATTGTATGATACAATATGCTTACGTTTGCCAGCATTGTTCACAAGGCAGTCAATTTTCTTGTATTTTTCAACCACTTTTTCAATCGCTTTCTTAAAAGAATAAGTAATTATATGTAGTTTTATTTTAAATTTATTTATAGATAATTGATTATTTTTTGCTTTTGATTAAACTTTAAGAAATTTTACTTTAAGATATAATACTTTAGTTGGTTATGTGTTTCAGTCAAACTTGGAAAACGAAAACTTACTAGCACATTCATAGTTCACAAAAATCTAAGCGTTCAGCTCTAACATTAAAAAAGATTCTAAGTACAATTCAGTATTTTGATAAACTTAGATCACTCTTCAAATTGTTAGAAACAAACCATACTAAATAGAAGAAAACCGTACCGTCCATCCACAATTTACAACAAATATCATTCATTAGAGCTTTATCTCAAAACAGGGGTGTAATTATAAAATTTTACCTTAATTTCGTCCTCACTGTTCATGTCACAGTGTATAAAATATACATTGTCGTTTGCTATTTTTGCCCCCTCTTCATCTGCAATTAATACAGCAACAAAAAGTCACGCAGCAAATATTCTGCGTCCGTAATAATTAGTACATTTATTTCTTTATCCAATTCATAAGATTCGTTTACATGTAATAAATTGAGATTCTTTCTGATAAGTATTGAATGTCGTTTAACATGCTTGCACCAAACATGATCAGCCTTTAAGATAGATTTAAGCGTGAACAGTCTGCAAATCCGTGTAGCTCAATATTGTTTAGAGACAAACTTGAAAGTTCTATTATGAAATCTCTAAAACGACAATGAACAATTTTAAAAATGACACTATGTTCAGCAGGTGTTGCATAACGTTTAATAGATTACAACTCTTATTACTGCAGTGTGCACGTCTAACAGACTTTTTACCTGGAAATCGTGCATATAAGTTTAGCTTCCTATCACAATGGTCAGTTTATCAAATTCGAATTATTTAATAATGTGGTAATAGCATGTTTAATGTGTTTATATTCATTAACCGTAGTATGCATGTAACAAGTATAAGATTGTGTTGCATAATGCTGTTTTTAGGGAACAGCAAAAATCACTTACAAATGTGTATACTCATCTAATTTCTAATGTTATCAAACAATGAAATTTATATCCTATTATCTATAGGAATCTTTGTCATCAATATCATACCATTCACGTCTAGTACAGCAACTTTCCCTCCATGATCGGCTACAAAAAAATGAATAAAGATCGAATGATACGTACATAAAATTCAATAGATACTTTGTATCCATAACAACAAGATAATTACCGTTTGTCACTTAGATGTGATAATGTCATACAAATTAGAAACATACATTACAAATAATCATGAACCAATAAGATGTTGTTGCATAAGAAGGAGTTAATAGTTGATACTATTACAGAAGTTATACAAGGCCTGTCAACAAAATTTATAGACGGTTCATTGTTAACGCCATTAACACAAATTCACTTATATAACCTGCAAATGTTATATTTTACATTATATCAAGTTATTTACAAAAAGGTATTCTCTTATTATTGTTCTGGCTTCCATAACTATAAATGTTGCTTTTATTTTTAGGTTGTGCAAAAGGGTCTAGCAGTACTATTAAACCTGTACGCTTAAGTCTCTTTAGCTATTCTATTACTTTCATATTCTCATTATAGAGGGCATAGCTGTGAATTCAAGGCGCACTTCAAACAGTCTTCAATATCTTGTAATTAGAATAGAAAATTAAAACAACGTATTTTTCAGACATTTGATGTTATGTCTGCAAAACATCACGTCATAAAATAATAACACGGGCAAACTTCTGATAGAAAAAAAGGAATTTTACAATGGATGACGTTAGAAGAACGTGCGGCACAGCGAACATTAATTCGGCTGCGGATGAGCCGAGTCTTTTATGATATTGAATAACGCGCGTGATTTACTGCGGAATGACACGATTTATTTTGCGGGTCATCAATTATTAAACAAGTAAAGCATTGATGCAAAGCATCAAAGGCGACGCCAAAGGAATTTGACCGAGTTTTGCACCTAAATACTTAACAAAAGATGTATACTTTATAGCAGTACCATTACATTTGACCTGGAGGCTAGACCCAGTTGAAAGAATAGATTCTGTCTTGCCAATGTGCAAAGACAATTTATAGTCAATTAACCAATCACTAATAAGACTCATGTCATAAAAGAGAATTTCTTCAGATTTATTTTACCAGATAAAAGGATATCTGAGTCATCAGCATATAATAAAAGCCATTGCTTAGGGTTGCAGACATGTCATTGACATATGTAATACATAAAGGAGGACCTAAAATGAACCTCAGGGGGACACCATAGGTACTCGGAGCAGTATTAGAATGAGTACTAGCCACATCCACTAGCTGCTGTCCATCAGTGATAAGACTTGAGCCATGTAATCTTGAATGTCATTATCTATGGCAGATGCTTGAAGTTTCATGAAGAAGAAGTTCTTTATGTGCAGTATAGTGTGATCAACTGTATCAAATGCTTTTTGTAGATCTAAAAGTATCATGCATACAATACTGCCTTGTCCATTTCAAATTTAATACAATCTGATAAATGAATCAAATATGTATCAGTTGAAAACCACTTCTAAACCCTGGCTGAAACTGCCTGACCATGACTCGAGCCCATGACTGTCAGAAGACCAACTGAGCTATCCGGCCGGCTACACATTTTCTCATTAATAATGAACAGTTCTAAACCACAACATATTTCCTCACTTTATTGATTTGTGTCCTTGAATTTCTGGTGTTTACAGAACATAGTGAATTAAACTCAGGGTTATATGCAGTCACAGGATGAGAAAAACTTTCAGCTTGACCAGAACTGGAACCTTTGACCCACAGAACAGAATAATGTACCGCGGCTGTAGCGATTGAGTTATCTGGCTGCATACACATTTTCTCCCCTAAATAGTGAACTCTTCTAAACTGTGACAGATACTTTAAGATTTTTTAATAAACAGGTTGATTAATTCTTAATTTAACAAATAAGAAAAAGAAACTTACATACTCATAGCCTAATCAAAGCAAAAATTTATATATTGTATAATTATTTTTACTAAAAAAAGGCTGTTATCGACTGTGCTATTATTTATAACAGGTCAATTTGAAAGTGAACATACATGTAACTGTACTAATACATATACAATATCTACATATTTGTACAGATAAAAAAAAACTAACCCTTTTTCTTTGATAACAAATTTTATGGAGGCTGATTTGTATTTTGCATCAGGAAGCATCAGGCGAAAACATAAAAATACAACAAACAAACCACTTTATGGTAGATTGTATTTTCATGTTTTCATCTGGCGCTCGGTTACTTTTTGTACTTTGTCGGTTTTCATGTGGCACATATCACCCACTATAAAATTTTGTGCACAAATTTATTCAAGCGCAAGTAACAATCTACTCTATGATAAGTCTATACTCAGGTTCGCTCTGGAGACCTGGAGGTTGAGACAGGTGTCCCTCCATTACAATATATAAGACAGAAGCTGTCATTTTCAAATTATGCAGATATTAGGAAACAATTAGAATAACAATTCAGAAAATGATTATTTGAGACTATAAGTTATATTGATTGATCCATGTTTGAGGACATTTTCTTCCCTTAAAGGACCAGTACTGACCTACTAGCACAGAGAGTGTGGAATATATATCTATATTGCCATGCAACCGTCCGGTGGAATTACACCATGGACCCTGCCATCACCAGTAATCGACACTTATTTAACCTAAATTCTGGATAGGTCATTATGTAACCTTCCAAATCTTACAAGTTCAGAAGAAAATCCACAACATCCAGGCCTTTAACTCTATTATAGATACTATTATTAGCCAGCTAACACTGGGTATAAACCTTTAACATGTTAACTAATCAATACATGTATTATCATTATCATTTATAACCTTAAATGAAAGCTCATCCCTTTAATAAAATGTCATAACTGTAACTCTTTAAATACAGAAATATCATAAGTCTCACCATATGTATATACTGATATATACATGTATGCACATAACAATTATAATTCCCAGTTTCTATTAACATTAGCGTTGCTACTAATGGATGGAATTCAAAATCTAGTAGAAAGAAAACTATAATGTTAAAACTCTATTAAAGACAATATTATTAGTCAGCTTACACTGGGTATAAACATCTTTAACCTGAAGACTAATCAAAACATGTATTATCATTTTATATAAATTTAAATGCAAGTCTCATCCATCATAACTGTAAGTCTTTAAATACAGAAATATTTTAAGTCACATCATATCCATATACTAAGAAATACGTGTATGCACATAACATTTATAATTCCCAGTTTCCATTAAAAATAGATATAACATCCTATTAACATTGTTACTTGGATGGAATTTATAATCTTGTAGAGAGAAAACTATAATGTATAGAAAAGTAAAAAAAAAAATAGTCTATATCATATAATAAAGATTGAGTTGTGTGAGTGTCTAAACATTAAATGCATTTATATCTCTTACAGTAACAAATATTATTCCTCTTTAAACCTTCCATTAGACTTTACTATATAACTAACTGCATTTCTACCTAGTGTTTAAAATTGATAACTTCTTGATTTCATCCTTTCTCTGTTTCAACATATGGACATGAGCACCTATATGCATAGCTTTAATTTTTTAACTTTCATTTTTACTAAAAGTTATTTTAATACCAATAATATACAAACACATAGAAAATAATAATTAGTTTCACATTGTGATTAGAAGATTCCCGTAGCAGATTACCTGTAGGTATGTACATGTATTAACTGCACAAACTAGAAAAATCCAGTCTAAGGTATATAAGCCATTAAAAAAAATCTATCAATTTTCACTCCTCAGGGGCTCTATGCTTTTGTTGACCTTGCAACCGGTAAATTTTATACAACAAAAATAGTAAGTAATACCTAAGATAGACAGAAAAGAACAAATAATTTAGTAAACATGAGTTACTCCCCCTTAAAATATAGAAAACCTGAAACCCAAAAGAACACCCAAAACAGCAAAATTATGAAATGTTGCAGGCTCTGTTTTATTAAGCCATGCAAAGTAATGGTAAAGAATTCATAAAAAGTTAGATGGCCATGGGACAGCAGTTATTGCAGAAAATCGGATAGCTTTCAAAATCCGGATACTGGTACACTTTGTAAAAGCAATCATTCTGTGCAAAAGATAAACGTAATATTGATAAAATCAATAGGATAACCGTTTACAAGAGTTCCATTACCAATCCTGATACTCATTTGCTTGTAAACGTTCTTCTTGTAGAAAATTTTGAAAATATACAAATGAATGAAAAATAATATGGCATAAATGCAGATCACAACGATATTCGAAATCCGGGTTTCAGTATTGCCAATAAAGCTAAGGGACAAGCTGTTAGACTGAGACGGCAATTTCGTGAAAATAATATCATTATGCACATGCTTTTTACATAAAGTTATTACATACAAATATAACAACATATTTGTTTACTTGATTTTTACGAATCAAAATAAAACTAATTCACACAACATGCCATTTACTGCTAATAATAACAGCTCCTTCCATAGGTCAAAATAAAAATCATTCCATAAGAGACGACGCCGCTCACCGGCGTCGCCAATAACTACATAAAACATTCACATACATCAGCTTTACACTCAATGACCAATTTTACAGCTGTGGCTTTGTTGCAAAACATGTTTTATATATACATTTTCTTCAAATTGAAAGACTATTTGCTCATCTTTTTAATCATGCGTAAACTTGTTGTCTCCAATTAAAGGTGAATTGTTTGTTTCGCATTTGGATAAAAGGCGTCGTTGTAAGAGCTGTTGAATTGCACTGTCATTAAACTTCTGCATTTTTGCAATATATACTTATTTGTTAAATAACAGAAGCAAGAAAACAAGCTCATTGTAAGGTAATTTATCTCTGATGGTGTTTTGTTTCATTATTCTCTTGGGATGATTTGGATGGTGCTGTGCGAACATAGATCTGATTTGAAAAAATAGCCACATTTTATATATTACAGCGAGGTCACAAATGTGCTGTTTTGGTTAGATTTTGTAACGGGCCTGATGCCTTTAATGTCTTATATACTACGTTTATGCAAATATTTGATGTTTTATCTTGGTAATTTTCTTATAAATCGTTTAATCTGGATATAGTTAATAAATGTTCAAGGCGCCATAATAAAACATTACGATCAACACTGTCTATATATAGATAAGACACATGGTGTCCGATTCCTGGCAAATAACGATATTGACTGAAGCGTACACGTCCTGTCACAGTATAAAACGAATTCCTACGGATGCAATGGAATTTTCGTCTCGTAACGCTTCCACTTTAATTTCAATAACTGTAAAGATCTAAACAGGCATTCGTAAAGGTTGCATTTAAATCGGCTCTTCTAAAGGTATGCATTACATTTCTGACATATTCTTTCGCAGCCATTTTACGCGCGCGTAAAACCTTACTTCTCCGGTTCTTTGATTATCTTAGGATGACATACTTTTAAAAAAAGACATACTTTTAAAAAACATGCATCGAATGCAGCATTTTAGCAACTTATATCTCAAGCTTTTGTTTATCATGGCATGGACGAAAACAAGTACTTTGCAGTACAGAAGACGATTACAAGACCATACGAATAGAAGGCCGGATATCTTTCATCTACATGTATTTTCCACAGCTTAAGCAGGAGTTCTGGAACCGGAAGTGAGATTCAGGCGAGGAATTAATGTTTACCACACAAGCGTTTAACGGAGACTGACAACCACATGGTGTTAAACCATTTTGACGGTTCGTGGGTAAAGTGACACCGTCTTTGACGTTTGACATGCGCCACGATTCATACAGTTGTTATGTTAATTATGCCAACATGTGGATGTTATTTGATATTTTTATATAAACATTTGTAAAATTGATGTAATTATATGCATTTTTAACATATTAGATATGTTCGTTCCTATTTACTTCAGCTTTTAAACAATCTTATCACTCAATATTCGGATATCCATCTAACTATAGGAAAACTGTCATATTGTACATATTGTTGATTAGGAGAAATGTGTTTGTTTGTTTGATTGGGTTTTCAGGTCACATCGACACAGTATAGGTCATATGACTACGTTCCAGCTTTACTGGCGGAGGTAGACCTCAAGTGCCCATCCGTGAATTATTTTAGGCTCGAACGGGCACCTGAGTAGAACCATCGATGTTCCGTAAGCTAGCTGGATATATTCCTCACATGAAAGAATCCAAAGTCCATGACGGGATTCGAACCCACAGCGCTGAGGGGCAAGTTGTTTGAAGTCAACGACCTTAGCCACTCGGCCACGGACGCCCTAGGAGAAAGGTGTAAATCATGCTTTCATTGTTGAGGTTTTAAGAGATTAAGTTTAATGATATATTCTTGCACAAAAATAGTAAAACGTTAGCTCTTAAATGCGAATGATAGAAGTTTAAAAATGTAAGAGAATGAAGGGCTTTGATTAAAAGGAATATACACATGCACACTACAAAACAAAACGGGAACTCATACTTAAGATATTTACCAAATACATCTACACATCCACGACCTATACCGCAACAACCGCCTGTAACTATGGCAACCTTGTCTTTAAACCTATCTCCGCTTGCCATTTCTATAAAATTAAGTCACACACATTTGATTTTTAAATAACATCTTTTTTGTTGCTGAGTAAACGATTGTTTATCATTTTATAATGTGCTGCTTAATTTACTTTGTACTTAATTTTGATTGACATGAATAATATTTCATTGAATAGAGCATTATACTTTATATACAATATTTACTCAACAAATATTTAAGAAAATGTTACCTTAAATAATTTCTATTCCAACGTAAACTATTGTGAATAATTTTATTATCAGCAAATTTACAGGTAATATCAGTTTCAAGGTCATCGGTGTAAACGTACTTTAATAGCAACTGATAACAACTGCAATGTCACTACACCTCTAAAATGATTGATAGGTGTTAAGTAAAACAATAAGAAATAGAGTATAATACCTTTCGTGATAAAGCACTCGAAATGTCAAAAGTCAGTTGTAATGTTAATTTGACTGGTGCATGTAAATAATATAACGGAACAAAACAACTACATATGTATATGGAGATTAACGCCGTCTGATCAAGCAGACATGCCTCCTTTTAATGATGTTTTTGTCCCCAGCAAACAGTGTAAACAAGTAAAAAATTGCTGGGAAATGCAGCAATGTGATTGTCACGGCGAAAAAAAAAGAAAAAATACAAAAAAAACAGTTAAGTATAATGTTAAGGTATCTCCAAATAGCATTGAGTTTAATTGACAGGTTAACTTGTTAAGAAGGATTTTAAGTATTGTAATGTAACTTGTTACAAGAGCCATGCATATGTAGTAGAGCAAAATAATTTATCATTCTTGTGTACTGCATACCTCTTGAGTGAGATCTATCCACATATGAAGTTTCATGGTGATATCTCAAAGGCTTTTGTAGTTATGCTCTGGACGAAATTAAGTATGAAAAGTAACAAAGGGCAATACCTGAAAAATAATGCACGGCAGGTGTGTGCCGCACTCCTCCTCAATGAGATTTATCCAACTATGAAGTTTTCACGCTAATACCTCTGACACTGTTTGAGATAAGCTCCGGACAAAAAGTTTGAAAAATAACAAAGGGCAATAACTTCAAACAATTATAAAGGGTATCATTCTTGGCGCACAACATTCCTCTTCAATAAGATCAATCGCACCAATGAAATTTCATGTTGACATCTCAAAGACCTTTTGAGTTATGCTCCACTCAGGTGAAAAATTAAGTTATGAACAAGAATGTCGAATCGACACATGTATACCCCCCCTTTCTAGCCAATTGACTCACATAATTGGCTAATTTTATTACAGAAACTTGCCAAAAATGGGTACATGGAAGTGTTGCAATTATGTTAAAAAAATCAACGAAAGCCATTTTGACATTAAAGGCCCCCTGTGACCTTGACCTTTAGACCTAGTGACCCCAAAATCAATAGGGGTCATCTACTAGTTATGGACCCAATGCACTATGTGAAATATGAAGACTTTGTGATACACACTTTTCCAAGATAATCAGCGGAAAACCATTTAGACATTTAAGGAACCCTGTGACCTTGACTTTCACCTATTGGACCCTTAAATCATTAAGGGCCTCATCTACTAGCGCGATGACCAATCACTATGTGAAATATGAAGACTTTATGAAACATACTTTTCAAGATAATCAGAGGAAACCATTTTGACATTTAAGGCCCATGTGACCTTAACCTTTGACCTAGTGACACCCAAAATCCGAAGGGGTCATCTACTAGTGATGACCAATCTTTGTGTGAAATATGAAGACTTTGCGATACATACTTTTCAAGATAATTCTTTGCGATACATACTTTTCAAGATAATTGAAGAATTCTTATGTTATTTTGTTGTGATTAATGCTTCCGAGGGATCACTTTGTTTCCAGAATTTTGTGATACATACTTTTCAAGATAATAAGCGGAAACCATTTTGACATTTAAGGTCCCTGTGACGTTGACCTTTGACCTAGTGACCCCAAAATCTATAGGGGTCATATACTAGTGAAGACCAATCACCATGTGAAATATGAAGACTTTGTGATACATACTTTTCAAGATAATCAGCGGAAACCATTTTGACATTTAAGGTCCCTGTGACCTTGACCTTTGACCTAGTGACCCCAAAATCAATAGGGGTCATCTACTAGTGAAGACCAATCACTATGTGAAATATGAAGACTTTGTGATACATACTTTTCAAGATAATCAGTGGAAACCATTTTAACATTAAGGCCCCTGTGACCTTGACCTTTGACCTAGTGACCCCAAAAATCAAATAGGGGTCATCTACTAGTTAAAACCAATCACTATGTGAAATATGAAGACTTTGTGATAAATACTTTTCAAGATAATCAGCAGAAACCATGTGGTCTACCGACGGACAGACCAACAAACCGACAGACAGACAGACCGACCGACAGACAGACCGACATTAGCAAAAACATTAATATACCCCCCTCTTCTTCGAAGGGGGGCATAAAAAGTACAAAGGGCAATTACTCAAAAACTATGAAGGATAGAGTCATCACTCTTTTGACTGCATACCTCCTGAGTGAGATTATCTACCAATGAAGTTTCATGTTGATATTTCAATGGCTTTTTTGTAGTTATGAAGTTGTAACCTATAACAATTTTTTAAATAAGCTCCGGACAAAAAGTATGAAAAATAACAGAGGGCTATAACTCAAAAATTATAATGGGTAAAGTTATCATTTTTTGTGCACAACATTCCTCCTTAATAAGATCTATCCACCTATGAAGTTTCATGTTGACATTTCACAAGCTTTTTTAGAAATATACTCCACTCAGGTGAAAAAATTTAGTATGAAAAATAACAAAGGGCAATAACTCAAAAAATATGAAGGGGTAGAGTTATCACCTCCTGAGTTAGATCTATCCACCTTTGATGGTTCATGTTATATCTCAAAGGCCTTTGTAGTTATACTCTGGGACAAAAATTAAGTATGAAAAAATAACAAAGGGCAATAACTGAAAAAACAATGCACGGTAGGTTATCATTATTGCGTGCTGCAATCATCCTCAATGAAATCTATCCACCTATGAAGTTTCAAGTTATTCCCTCTAACACTTTTGAGATAAGCTCCGGACAAAAAGTATGAAAAATAAAAAAATGTCAATAACTCAAAAATTATAAGGAGTAGAGTTAACATTCTTGTGCACAACATTCCTCCTTAATAAGATATATCCACCTATAAAGTTTCATATTGATTTCAAAAGCTTTTTTTAGAGATATGCTCCACTCAGCGTGAAAAATTTAGTATGAAAAATAAAAAAGGGCAATAACTAAAAAATTAAGAGGGGTAGAGTTATAACCCTTATGCACTGAACACCTCCTGAGTGAGATCTTTCTATATATGAAGTTTCATGTTGATATCTCAAAGGCCTTTGTAGTTATACTCTGCAAAAATTTAGTATGAAAAATAACAAAGGACAATAACTGAAAAATAATGCACGCTCAGTTATCACTCTTGTGTGCAGCACTCCTCCTCAATGAGGTCTATCCACCTATGAAGTTTCAAGGTGTTACCTCTTACACTTTTTGAGATATGCTGGACCACTCAGGTGAAAAATTTAGTATGAAAAATAACAAAGGGCAATAACTCATAAAATATAAGGGTAGAGTTATCACTTCCTGAGTAAGATCTACCTCTAACACTTTTTGAGATATGCTCCGGACAAAAAGTATGAAAAATAACAAATGTCAATAACCTAAAAATTATAATCGGTACAGTTATCATTCTTTCGCACAACATTCCTCCTCAATTAAAGATCAATCCACCAATGAAGTTCATGTTGACATCTCAAAGATTTTTTTTTAGTTATGCTCCAGTCTCAGGTGAAAAATAAAGTATGCAAAATTACAAAGGGCAATTACTCAAAAACTATGAAGGGGTAGAGTTATCACTTTTTTGCACTGCACACCTCCTAAGTTAGATCTATCCATCTTAAAGGCTTTTTGAGTTATGCTCTGGACAAAAATTAAGTTTGAAAAATAACAAAGGGCAATTACTGAAAAATTATGTAGGGTAGAATCATCATTGTTGTGCACTGCACTTCTCCTAAATATGATTTACCATCTATGAAGTTTCAAGTTGATACCTCAAATACTTTTTAAGATATGGTCCGGACTAAAAAAAGGACGGAAGGACAGACTGAAGGAAGGACAGGCGGACGTACGGAGACTAATTTTATATCCCCAACCGCCTTTTCGGCGGGGGATAATTAAACATTTTCCAGCTTATAGCTAAAGGAAACTCAGAATTTTGCTCACAATAATGAGACATGAATTCTGAATGAAGTTCAGAAGACTTTGTGTAAAAGACTGATTTACGGACCCAATTAAGTTATTGTACAACCTGGTATGGTAAATGCTTACTTTGAAACGCATATGGAAAACCAAGTCTCATTTTAGGGAAAAAATGTTTTATTGCGCAAGAAAATGAAATTATTCAAAAAAGACAAGAAGAAAAGCATTGATGCAAAGCATCAAAAGGGCGACGCCAAAAGAATTTGACCTAAATACTTAACAAAAGTTGTGAACTTTATAGCTGTACCATTTCATGTGACCTGGAGGCTAGGCCCAGTTTAAGTTGAAACTTAAACCAAAAAGAATAGACACTGTCTTGCCGAGATGCAAAGACAATTTATAGTCAATTAACCAATCTTAAGATTTATTTTACCAGATACAAGGATACCTGAGTCATCATCATATAATCACATGCACGAGTATCGAACCTGGGAAGAAAATCTAGTCATATTTTCTCTTCCCGGGTCTGATACTTGTACCTGTGCATATAATAAAGCTTATTGCTTAGGGTTGCAGACATGTCATTGACATATATTAGACATGAAAGAGGACCTAAAATGAACATCAGGGGGACACCATAGGTACTCAGAGCAGAAGTAGAAGGAGTACCAGCCACATCAACTAGCTGCTATCAGAGATAAAACTTGAACCATGTAAGAATGTCATTACATATGGAAGATGCTTGAAGTTTCATGAAGCAGAAGAAAAAGAACTTCTTCATGTGCAGTATAGTGTGATCAACTGTATCAAATGTTTTTATAGTATCATGCAATACTGCCTATGTCCATTTCAAATTAAATGCACTTTATTAAATGAATAAAACATGTGCCAGTCGCAAAACCACTTCTAAACCCTGACTGAAACTGCCTGACCATGACTCGAGCACATGACTTTCAGAAGACCATTACTGAGCTATCCGCCCGGCTACACATTTTCTCTGAAATAATGAAACAGTTCTAAACCACAACATATTTCTCCACTA